AGATAGATTATATTAAGTAAAATTATACTAGTTATAAGTAAATTAGTAAATAGCATAAATATGTTATATTATACTTAGAAGAATAATATACTTTTTTTCCGTATATATTAATTTACCCTTTTTTGTGACTGAACTAAAAAAATAATTAAACTATATATTCTTTTTCCGGCTTAGTATTAACTTATTTGTATTTGCTAAACAAACTTCAATCCTAGATAAAATATTAACGCGAAAGCTAACAGTTAGATATATATTCACTTATAGTAATAGAAGGAAGCAAATTTTTTAAAAAAAAAAAAAAGTATAAGATTCTAGAGATAGCAACTTACTCTGACTAATAATTTAATATTTTATTATATGTTTACACTAGCAGATCTTGTAGTATTCTATTAATATATAATTAATTTTATAGATAACTCCTGTAATTGATTTTTAAAAAAAGGATATTCCTAAATAAAACAAGAAGTAGATTTAGGCTACTTATATAGCCTATTGCGAGTCTTATAATTACCTATTTATTTCTATATTTGTGCCTGGCTAGTCCCTGTCTTTAACTAGAATAATAAAACAAACTAAAAGAAAGTTCTTGTCCTTAAATAAAAAAATAATAAAAATTAATTTATTTCTTATTCTTTCCGCTCCTATATAAATGCTAAAGCAAGCCCCAAGTTAGTCAGCCGCCGGTCTATATTTTTATCCTATTTAATTAGAAAGCGGTTTCTTCTGTGTCAGAAAACCACAGGTTACCTGCATAATTCTAAGAAAGGCTATAAACCTCTAATCTTTTTCACATGCGGCTAACTTAGCAATAGATCTTCCTGTAGAATCTCCCTGGCTCTCTCTGATTCTGTCTGAGTATTCCCGTGCAGTTAATTAATGTCTTTCAGGAATCTTCTGTCGCGGACTCTAGTGTCTATATTTTGTCCGCTCAGATTGAGGTTAGTTCGCAATAGGCAATAAGCTTTCTAGACATCTATGAGCCTTTAATAGCCCTCCTGCTTAACTAAATACAGGCAACTAGTGCTTTCACCGGTTGGTAAAGATATTCTTCAAACATACGCTACCCCGTTTTATATCTCGTATAACTATCCTACTTGGAACCTCCGGCGAAAGGATCGGTATTTAACATCAAGAGTTGGGAGTTTATAACCAGGTAATTATTTAATTCTTTCCGAGCGACATTGTTTGCACAAATGACCGCTTGCTTTAGCCATCGGACCTAAAATTAAGATAATAGTCAGTCAAAGTAATAAAAAGGGGGGGATGTTGGGGTGACCTATTAACCAGCAAATATCAAACTAACCTCAGCTTATTGAACTGGTTATAGGTTAAACACACAAACTAGATAAAATAACCAGAGCGTGCAAATTAGGACCTTATTAAACACTAGACAGACTAACCGTGTTACCTTTTCTCCAGCCGCTAAATAACCAAGATCACTGGCGCAGGTCTTAGACTTAAACACAGTAAAGTAAATACTTAACCAGTATTAAATAATTCCTTGCTAAAGTTTACTAAAAGTTATATATAGAGTTAACTTACCGCCAAAACTTATTATATCTATTAAAAGGTCTTTCTAAACTACTGCTTCTATCAGGAAAAAAAGAAACTAATCCTACTATTTATATATAGATAATACCAAGGAAATATCGTCAGGCAACAGTAGCAGAATATATTAATATAAGATAGGTTAATATTACTATAAAGCAAAAAATAAAAATAATTTAGAACTAATTAAAAATAATAAAATATTTCTAAAGTATAAAAAAAAAACTAAATATTATTTATAAACATGTTTAAGAGCGCAGGTTTATTAACCATAGTAGGTTTAGCTCCACAGAGAGAAAACCAAAATAATAATAATAAAATAAAGTAATAATACCCTATTATATACCCAATATTAGGCGGTTACTTATATCCTTGACAGCATTTAACAATTAATAACTTTTTATATTCGCCCTTTTTTTTCTCCCTGAAGGTAGTATTACAAACTAAATATATCTTGTTTTTCTACAAAAGTTAGATACAGTAATAAGGAACAAATTACAGTGGATATGATCAGTTAATTAACTAGATACACTAGATAGTTTATTATAGCATTTTCAAATGATCATTATTAATGTTATCTAATCCTAGAATTAATAGTTATAATAATTCGACTGGGCAATTATCGCAGACACGCTTTTTTATATAGTCTTATTAAACAGTAGACTATTATAATAAACTAGGATTTATAACCTAGCTTTTGGGAGTGTATTTGCTTATAATAACTTAAATTAGGTTCCTATAACTAGTCTCTATTATCCTAATAACTCACCCAGATAACACAGGAGCCAGATTACTTTAGAAAACAGATATAAGTATCTCAAAATCCGGTCAGATAATCCGATAAATAAACAAGGCAATAAAATTACTGGATTAGCCTCCCGCGGCCACAGATGTATGATCAAGAAATCACGTGACAGTAACATTAGCCCAGTTTTCTTGAGCGATCGGGATGTCGTGTGTGAGCAGCCTTAAAAAGAGTAAATACTTATAGTATAGCAGACACCCTCTCTCTCCAGTAAGTCCTAAGCCAACTAAATACTTTAACAGAATTTTACTTAGTTTCTTAATTCTAGAATATTCTAATCGTAACTACTATTAATTAAAGTAGGAAAGAAGTATATCTAATTATAAGTTTATTTAGTAATTCTAGAGCGCTTTCTAACTCTGTTAATATTAGAGCTAAACACTCCCCTAGATATATAAGATAAACAGTATCTCCTCCTAAAATATATTAACCCGGATATCTTTACTTAATACTATAAATATACCTACATAAAAAACTACTTATTTAGTTTTTCACTAAGCCAGAGATTAATACAAAAACAATTAATTAATCTATAAAATTTTAGATTTAACAGTTTATTTATAATTATAATCTTTTTATATTAAATTAAAAGACTTCCCCTTTCTGATCTAGCTAATCTTATTAATTATTCTTATATCCATTTCTTTATAAGTAAGTACCAGTAGGAACTATTACGTCTGCTTTTTACTAAAAAACTCCGGGATTCTATTTTAAGCCTATATTTTTTTAATAATTATACTAATAAAATATTTTAGTATCTTATAAAAATAGCTTGATTATATATTCCTCTAGAAGAAATGCTCTCTTAATAAGAAAATTATATAATTTAATAAATTAGTTTATTTTCCTAATACTAGTAATCTATTATTTTTATGTGTAATTATCTTCTAGATTATTTAAAAGTTAGGTATTTATAATTTATTCTGCATAACTTATTAGTATATCCTTAAAATATATTTAAACTTATATATAAAATAGTACACGCGCTACAAATTTAAAAAATAAAATAAAGAGCTCGGCTATATATATATCAGATCAGATACGTTCTAATATAAACATGCTGGAGATAATTTAACCTACACTATTAAGGGCCTATACCAAAGGCCTATACTATACTTATATATAGGGGTATCTAGTGCCAAGCCGGAGGGAATTATAGGACTAAAAAGATTAGCTAACTAATATATTTTCTATTCTAGTAGTAGGTCCGTGCATTTTTTAATACTTTAGTATCCCCCAGGTCTCCTGTAAGAAATTATTCCAATCCACCTAAACTCTCTGCTATATCCCGAGATATCGGACTAGACCTGAAAACCCGTATCCACAACACTTATACTGTCCTATTGTTTATTGTACTGTAAATAAATATATTATATAGAGGTATAAAGCCAGCTTTACCGCTTTATACTCTCTCCTTTATGGTGGGCTTAGACGATAACTCCCACAGGTAGCTGAATATTTGTTCGCGGTACCTTTAGCCTCCCAAGAATGTTACTGATAGTTCTGGGAGCGGCTTGGACCTTTCAGCAGGATAGGGTTTAATTTATTAGATCTGCCAACTGGGTTTTAAGATCTCTAGATATGCTCTCCGGAGTAATTTAGTTCCTATATAATATAAATAAGTTTCTAGGATAATAGAGACTAGTTATAGGAGCTTAATTTAAGTTATTATAAGTAAAAATATCCCTAAAAACTAAGCTGTACACTTAAAACAGATCTTAGTTTGCTATAGTAGTTTACTAAATAAACTATATCAAAAAATATACCCGCGATTTTTGCCCAGTTGCCTTATTATATTTACTCCAGATTAAATTCTCTTTTTTGAGAAAGTCCTTCGAGCAACAAGGGTAGGATTAGAGAGTAGAAGGGGCTTATTTAATCAGGTACAGCATTTTAGACTACGCTTCAATGGTAGAGTTTCTGGCCATATTCAGTTAGGTATGTACGGACTTACTTATGATTAGGGTGCCCTGTTATGCTATATCTTTAAAAGACGCGATATATAGATAAGACTTTTGCTTTACTATTAATACAGATTAGTTGCGCCGCCAGAGTAAAGTTTAAACATCTATAGTAATAAAATGTTGGTTCGCCTTGTGTCGCCACCCAGAGTTGAAGCGGTAACAGCCAGACGAGGCTGCGGCACGTGAAAGGCTGAATTCCCTAGACCCCTTGTGGTCGAGCGGGAAATGACATCACTTGAATTGAAGCTCGATTATATAAATAGGATCTAAATAAGCATTCAGGTGGTGTTCCGACACTCCTCCTTAAATTACATTGCTAAGAACTCTCCTGATCTTCCACCATCTTTATAAAGGTGATCCCACGCCACTGTTAAGTTGCCTTAACAATCAACTCATAGACATTCTAATTGATTTCTATTCCACTCCTTAGACATAAACCGTTGCAAAAGCAAGGCAGTCTAATAGGCGTCTTTCAAAAGGCGTTCCTATAAAGTTGCCAGGAAAACGCCTGAACGGAATAAATGTTGCAATATTCTTTCTTTCCTTGCCTAAATCCTATATCTCAAGGTGCGTCCATGCTAAGGTGGGGCGTTTTAGGTAGCCGCTCTCCCCACATCAGGAAATGGGACTTAGTCGATCCGACTGAACTCTACTTCCAGAGTAGCAACTCAGAACCTATATCGATGTCTCTAGTCCCAGGCCTTCCAATTAAATGCGCTGAGAACATAGCTATCACTTCGCTATTTCACAATATTCCCCTTCCACCGTCTTCGAATTTTCTCGACCGCTTATCAGAAGATCAATATTCCTTTTCTTTCGATCAGGAGCGCAGGGTAGCGGGTACCCTCGCTTTCCTTGCTCATATTCGAGGAAATGCCGATTATATCCCCGCCGTATGTATTGAGGAAGATCCAGCAAAGGGCTCTCTAAACGTGATACTTGCTATCAACAAAACTAAGTTTTCTGATGGAGACGATGTGTTACGTTGTGCTCAACAGGGTTTTGATGAGGTCTTCACGCTCCTTGCACGAGTATCTACTGGTAGGTAGAATACCGTTATCTTCTCTAATTACTAATAGAAACATGCCCAGATAATGCCATTATCATCAAAAATCGGATTTTCTATGTTATAGTTTCGATGTGTTCACCTCGCATCCTTTCTCGATTACGGTTGGCGCCTTCCGGCCGGCAAAAAATGAAAAGGTCTTTCAAGGATACTCTTCAGGAGCTTACTATAGCTCTAACTCAAGTCAACCAGCGCAAACTGGCTGATAGAAATCTTTCGGAAGTCGTCAATTTGTTAATAGACAGGGTTAAGGAGGCGAGAAAGCAAGTTGGCTCATGGTTTCGACATCAAGTGACTGAACGACTGTTAGAACTCGTGGAGAGTATTTATCGGATTAAACAGATCAAGCTTCTTCAGTCCATTATCGGCATGATACCAAATATCTATATGAGCCCTACCGCCAGACAAAGCTTTCTCAACATCGTCAATAAAACATCGAGATACTGGGAGGCTGCTCGGTTCTTGTACCGTACGGCCAAGAAGGTTCCCTTAGCTCGGAAGATGCGGACAGTGCCTGTCCACCTGCCAAAAGAAGCGTTTAAAATTCCATCTACGAACACATACACCCCAGATCTGGTCAAAAAAGTCACCGAGGCCAGCCCAAAAGGAAGACAACAAAAGCTTCTAAAAGAGATATGTCGCAATCTCGGCTTGAGTGAGCAGGAGGCCAAAGACAAATTCTCCCGGCAGGTAAAAAATACCTTAACAAAAGCGAAAATTCATGCCGAGGTCCAGATTATCGCTTATTGCGAGTCCCGTTCGCAATTGGTTCTTCCACGAGTAATATGCTCCAGCAAAGACGCTTGCTTTCTCTGCAACTTGTTCATCAAAGTGTACGGAAAAACAAATACTCCTCGTTCTCATGGAAGACTTTATCCCGGATGGCGGTTGCCTTGTTTGCCACAGATTGAAGAAGTTGAACGAAGGTTCTGCCAATCGTTACAGAAAAACTTTCTTGACACTTGCACTTCAGTTCTATCTGGAAAACGGCAAATGCTCCATCCGGAACCTATTGAAAGTACACTTTTCACCCTCCCTGCATCTGATTCAACTCTCTTAGCCATCACATCACTAGGAGGAAGTGATTTGAAAGATGTCGGACTGACACCGCATGAGACTACATCCTTTCGTCCAGAACAGGACCGGGCCCCTGACTCGGGAACGAGTAAAGTTAGCAACCATGACTGTCAGGTCGTGGAATCAGTCGACAAATCAAGTATTGTCTCGGATTCTTCCGACACACCGGGCCCCTGCAGGCAGCAGGCAAACTGTGGGCTTCAAAGCAACTCAATCATACTTCAAGGTTCCGGAGTCTTCGGGAATATCAGCCCCAGCGAGATGTCCAAACTATATTCTGCCGGCCCTTTGGAGATCATCATTGAGGGACTCGCAGGTTCTAGGAGTGTTTCTTATCATATTGAATGGCTTGGCGAAGAAGAGACAAGCAAGACAAGAGAAGTGGGTTTCCTTGTCGACATTGAGGATATTGACGAGATCACCCTTGACGGATACAATCCATTATACGTGACCATCAGAGGCGCAATTTTAAGACTAAGTTGGACCAGCGAGAGGCGCTAATATGTCGAAATAGTGATTACAGTGATAATGCTCCATACGCTGACCCCTCGCCATAAGTGAGAACATTGGATTGAAGTACAATCTTGCTACATTATCATCATCCTATGGAAAGAGATCTAGCTACTTATAGTTGTAGTAGCTACTGCCTAGCGGAGGAATGGCGCGAAGGACGGGTGCGTAAGCAAGGCGGAATAACAGGCGAATAACAAGAAGAGTGCAGTAGGCAGACAGCAAGAAAGGGTACACGGCAAAATATACGAGGATGAACCTTGCTGAGCATGCAAAGCACGTAGTAGGACAAGGGGGCAAAGAGACGAACATAGACAACCGAACACGAGAAGTAAAGAACATGACCTAGAATCCAACCAAGAACCAATCAGGGAGAGGCTTGGCGGGAGGCAAAGGGTGTGTGTCGTATTTCTCGCTGTGCTTTTGGCTGGGTCAACGTCGGCGTTGGGCAGCCGAGGGGTTGGTAACCCCTTCCACTCCGTTCCTTCGTTTCAAGGCATCTCTAATCTCTGTATACATGACCTTTTTTTTGACCTACTAGGTTTTATCAACGACATGGCAAGGAACAAGCAGTAGTCTAATGTCAGTCCTCGTATTACTATCCTACAGAAAAACGTACAGCGGGGATTATCTTACCTTCGAAATTAACAGCTTTAAATGCAAGGCTCTGGTCCAATTGTTTGAAACCCAGAACGTTGAAAGTCAATAAGCTTCAACGCTTTTCAGTATCGTCATTTCATCTTCATTTACATGCAGACAGAAAACACTAGTCTCCCTTCTAAAAGTATATATTTGAAGGACAGGTGCATGAAGAAAGGCGAAGTCGTCGAGTAATAGTAGCAGAATACTCCAAGATACGAAACGGATAAGTAATACCACAAAGCAGTAGTTAAATGAGAACAACTGAATAATAACAAGGCAAGCAGGAATGCACAATCAACGCTCACGTATCGAAAGGACAGAAACCGGTTCACCTTGCGCCAAAGCGGTATGACGCTCCCGCAGACGGGCCTGTTGCCCTTTCTTCTGGCTCAAATACAGTCTTCGCCGAAGATTGTGGGGTATTGAATGCACAGACATCAACTCAACGAGACTTGCTGGTCGATTGGTGTGCTCCCTCTGTACTTTGACCCAAAACATGCTGTCCAATTTGGAGAAGAAGCAAACTTCCTCGTGCTTCAGTACCCAAGTATCTGTCAGCTCCCCTCGTAAGGGGCGGGTCACGGCTGTTGTGAGGACGCAAATATTACTATGACTAGCATCAGGAATTCCTTTGCACTTGAAGTAATCTGTTTCGAGACAATCCATTGTAATATATGCAAATGTTGCACAGTCTTGCGAGTCGGATAGAATCCTCACCCAGGCGTTACGGCGGAAAACATGATGTGACTATATTCTATGGGCGAATTAAACGGGTTTACGCCAACAGTTGAAATTGATAGCTTTGAGGTTATGGAAACCCGTAGGCGACATAGAAACAACACCTCAAAAATTTTCTGGCCGTGGTACAGACCTATTCACTGTTAGTAAGGGGCCCCAAATTGCCTACGCTGTTAAGGGCCCACACCAAGGGCCTACGCTATACTTACCCACGGGGGTATCTACTGCGTAGTGCCAAGCGAGAGGGAATTGCAGGACTGGAAAGATTGGCTAACTGACATATTGTCCACCCCCATCGTAGGTCCGTGCATTTCCTAATACCTTAGCATCCCCCCAGGTCTCTTGCAAAAAATATTCCAACCCACCTAAACTCTCCACTATATCCTGAGCCATTGGACTAGACCGGAAAACCCGAATCCACATATTGTCAATTCGGGCTACTGCTACGAAATTTTGGGCCAATTCCCGAAGTCACATTTATGGTAAAATAGTAAATCGAATGCAGCGCTATGATCCCAACTACCTTTAATTCACTGGTCTACAAATGCGTATGTAATTGTCAGTTATGATATATTTAGGCAGAAATCTGGAACCGCCTCCAAATAATGGCTACTACGGCGGTGTCCAGCGCCACGTCAGACCGCTCCAACAAAAGCAAAACTACGACCAGATACCCGTTACAGTTGATTATATTAACATATGAATTTCAAAGAGGGGAAGGCTGACAACCACGGGCGAACGCGTATAACAAGCACATATGATACCAGTCCATTTCCAATATGGACCTTGGATTCCCACACTTGCCTAAACACAGTCCGCATCCAAATGAAAGGAAAGAAAAAGAAATCAAAAATATTTGACTGGCCATCTGATGAGCCTACAGAACCAGTTGTAGATGATGAGGTTACCCTAAAAATAAAAGAGCTTATCTTCAGGTAAGAAGCTTAGATAAGCCTTTCAGTTTCTTATACCAACTAATAACTCTTTGGTCAGTTATTATCTTAACTTGAAGTACAGTAATTTATATATTATTTATAGACATGAAAGCTTTCCAGCTCATCAGAATATTATTTACGCTTAGTTAAAGTACTTTAAGGTTGCCTGCGAGAGGCTATTCAAGATATACAAGATTTTTCTTTGTTATTAGGCTCAGCAAAGCCACAAAACATATTAATTAGATAATAGGAGTATAATAGAGAAATAAGGCTTGATAATCAAGACTTAATACTTATTAGAAAAATACTAGAATTTCTTTATACAGGTGATTATATCTATGAAATTGAAACAGGTTTAAGCGTAAAACTCCAGCTAGTATTATAGCCAGAAGAATCCCCAGAATCATAGGCATAATCTAGCTCTGTAAATACACGAATCAGCTAATCTTATTTTTATACGCAAATATATACCCAGGGAGAGTATTTCTAAATCTATAATCTAAAGATAAAAGTAAAATAATACTTCTAAAATTCTTTTATAAAATCTCTTACTTGAGAGTTATTTTTTTCTGCTATTATTAAAATATACAACTCAACAATAGATAGTGATTATGGCCTTAGGAATCTTATTATCCAGATGATAAAAGATAACCTGGGAATGTTAAGGGCTAAAGAGAATCCTATATTAGATAAAACACTTCTTAAAATCATCCCGGACTTTATATTAGAGATATGTCTTTCTGCCCTGGACAAATGTGCCGAACAGGACAAGAGATGGGATTATTGAGGTTCTCCCTATTTGATATTTCAGTATGCTATCTTCCATTGTTGATATTCATGTTTCAACACTATCAAGAAAGGCGTCCACGGGATTCCAAAAGTGATACAACATGCTTGGTGAACTCTTAGCGTAGAGCTAAATTTCAAATGCTCGCGAAGATGATTTGTGACTATATAAAGACTGGCTGTACTAAAGATCAAAAAGATAAGTTTGTACTCTGTCGATTGTCCCTTGAGACCTAGTATAAAATTATCTATTTAATAGCCTCTGTGATAATCTGTACGGTGTGATCGAGCTTTACTGATTAATGAGAAGTTTTTCTTACAGTCTGTATACTAATAATAATAGTTAGTGTTATATTGCCGAAGGCTTGTCGTATTTGTGAATAGCCTTTTATAGTTACTGCAGTAGAAACTATAATTTTACTATATTTTTCTTAGATATAAATTTAATTACAGATTAATTATCGGCTTTTATATAATTAATTAAGTGGTTTGTATATCACTGACAAGATGCCTGTTCAGGTTTTATAATTATTTTAAACAAGGATAAATAAGCCTATTATTGATTTTGTTTTAGCTGAAGCACTTTTTCTATTATTAAAACCGAGAAATTGTATAAAAACGTGGTAAATATTCTTAATATATTATGAAACAGCTGCTGGTGTTAAAGAGCGGATAAATATTAAATAGCAGATTTTAATAAAATACTGTGTAGCTCCGAGTGAGGAGGGCTGTCTGGTCTGTAGATATACTAAATTATATTAATGAATTCCAGATATCTCTAATTTAACTTAAAATAGGATTATAATTTTTGTTTAGATAACTGTATTAATCTCTTAATCTGATATTTATTAGCGAGGGTGTATATCACTGTATTTATATATGCCCTACTTTTTTCGGCGGTAAGGCTAGTAATTATGGCCGTACTACTTTCGTCCGTATAATCTATAGTTAGTGTCTTACTTTGCTCTGCTGGTTTGTTTTACTTAGGGGCGTCTTAAGCTGGTTCTATAATAAACTATTATTTATAAGAATTATTATAGGTGGCACAATAAAGGTAATCAAACATCTTTATAATAATAAGGGGGTTATCTTTAAGGATAATCTCTCTTAATCTGGTTTCCTGTAATTTATAAGATAAATCTCTGATATAAGCTATATTTTTGTATCTAGAACTGGCCACTTATTACTTTTTTAAAGAAACTTAACTATAAACAGATAATATAGTTATGTACTTTAAAGACGGATGACTCGCAGAAAACTGTGAGATCTGAATAGGTATTATTTTTTTGAATACTTTATTAAGTTAATTATTATTTAAAATACTGACGAGCGTCTGAGCTTATTCCGATAAAAGGGTCCGTAAAGATTTAAAATTGTTGGCCATCTCGAGTCAATATTTAACACTATTGATTTTAAATTAGAGAATATACCGGGTTTAAAACCAGTGTCTGAAATGACGCTACTCCACCCAGAGCAGGGTTAAATGATATATGCAGAGCTACCCGACAAGCTGCAATCGCTTTTGGGGGTGGGCCTAGGTTATCTTGTGCCCTCCTGCTTTTATACTGCTGGATACTATAATTTAGCAGAACTAAAATATAAAATTTGTATCTTTATTTATATACACAGCATTCTTCTAACCTTGATCTCCAGAATGGCCGGTGTCTTCAACCTGGGATGGTGTTTGTTCAGTTTGTTCATTGAGCACAGCGAGTGCATTCGCTGGCGCAATTGGGCGCGCGACGTGAAACCCGTCAAAAAGGCGATCCTTCCGACTACAGGATAATGTTAGCCCGCAGATTCGCCCAGCCTGGAATTATATAGGCTCCGTACCAGATGAGGCAGGTAAACTTGGACTAAGGGGACCCCAGGTCTCTTACAAGAAATTATTCCAACTCACTTAAACTATCTCCTGTATTCCAAGCTGTCAGACTAGATCTGAAAACCCGTATCCGCAACACTTAAGCCATCCTATTGTTTATTATGCTGTAAAAAAACATATTATATGGAATAACAAAGCCAGATTCACTGTCTTACACTATTTCCTTCATTATGGGCTCAGACGATAACTCTAGAGGTCTGGGAGCCCCCCGGACCTTCCCACAAAATAGGGTTTAATTCATCGGAACTCCCAACCAGATTTTAAGATATCCAGATATATTCTCCGGACTAATTTAGTTCCTGTATAATACAGATAAGTTCTTAGAGCAGTAAAAACTAGCTGCTAAAGCTTAATTTAAGTTATTATAAGAGAATATACCCCTAAAAGCTAAATTATATATTTAAAACAGGTCTTAGTTTACTATAGCAGTTTACTGAATAAACTATATAAAAAAATATATCTGTAATTTTTACCTAGTCGGCTTATTATATTATTCCAGATTAAATACATACATATAGAAGGTTCTCTTTTTCGAGAGAGTCCTTCAAACAGTAAGGGCAGGGTTAGAGAGGGTATATTTAATTATATACAGTATTTTCAGGCTACGCTTCAATGGTGGAGCTTCTGGCTATATTTAGTTAGATATTTACGGACTTGCTTATAATTAGGATACTCTATTATATTATATCTTTAGGGTGCTGATATATAGACAGGACTCTTGCTTTGCTATTAATATAGATTAATTATACCGCTGGAGCAGAATTTAAATATCTATTATAATAGAATATTAGTTTACCTTGTGTTGCTATCCAGAGTTAAAGCAGTATCAGCCAGATAAGACTCTAGATAAGGATCTGAGATTTTTTGATGATATTCCTGATAATAAAATAGAGGTTATATTTTATAAATCTAGGAATACGCAGTCAGATATTTAGTTGTTCGATTAATGTCGCTCTAAGTTATTTTCAAATTATAACTATTAATATAAAACTACCTTCATTTAGAATGGGAAGGCCCCTTAATGCAAGCTTTTTTGCCTTTTTCTTTTTATATTTCGAGGACAGATATTCCTAATTCTCATATAGTATTAAGTCTGCGCATGGAACCCTCACTATGTGACCCTAGGCTTGTGTTTAATCAGAAGCCTTAGGTAGTATCTCGTGATTAGGAGTATCACTAGAAGATAAAAAAGCGTTAGAACAACCTTCAGTATTAGGGGGCCCATAGGGAATAACCTACTACTCGAATTCTCTTTCAGCAGGAGACTCTTCAGAAACAAGCTCAGGTTCTTCAAGCTCAGGCTCAGGCTCGGGGAAAGTTTCTGCGGGAACAGGCTCAGGTTCTTTAAGCTTAGGCTCAGGCTCAGGAAAAGTTTCTGCAGGAACAGGCTCAGGTTCTTTAAACTCAGGCTCAGGCTCGGGGAAAGTTTCTGCAGGAATAGGCTCAGGTTCTTCAAGCTCAGGCTCAGGCTCGGGGAAAGTTTCTGCGGGAACAGGCTCAGGTTCTTCAAGCTCAGGCTCAGGCTCGGGGAAAGTTTCTGCAGGAATAGGCTCAGGTTCTTCAAGCTCAGGCTCAGGCTCGGGGAAAGTTTCTGCGGGAACAGGCTCAGGTTCTTCAAGCTCAGGCTCAGGCTCGGGGAAAGTTTCTGCGGGAACAGGCTCAGGTTCTTCAAACTCAGGCTCAGGCTCGGGGAAAGCCTCTGCGGGAACAGACTCAGACTTTTCAGGAACAAGCTCAGGTCCTTCAGAAAGAGAATAAGCTGGGCCAGTTCCGTTCAGATTTTTATCTAATAATATATTAGAATACCAATTCAGCTCTAGTACTATACTATCATTTTATTAATGAGATGACTTACCGCTCTAATCTTATATAAAAAGTAAATAAATTAAGAGTATCTTAAGGATCATTTTTATTATAATAATATTAAACTAATAGTCTCGACTGAGAATATTATAAAATTTGTATAAATAAAGTATTAGATCTTCAGGCTCTAGTAATCATTGCAAGTTCTCTTTAATATAATTTAGAAGCCAGGTTTTACTAGCAGAAAAACTTAAAAAAATATCCTTTATTACCTGTAATACTTTAAGGATAGAAACCTTCTTATCTAATTACTTCATTTTTTGTTTGGCGAAAATCTTAAGTCCAGAAAAGCTATATATCTATAAGATATAATAAATAAGAATACTTTTCTTGTATTCCCTAAAAATATCAGATATGCCTTCATCAAAAAAAGAGTTAACCATCTCATAGCCACCTATATATAAAAAATATACTATACTATGTCCGGCATCCTTATAGATATCAGATATTATAATATTTATCAAAAATCTAAAAGATAACAGCTAGAATTTTAGGTATTTCTGAAGAAAATAAGCTGGAAGACTAAATCGCTTTTTCCCTATAACAAGGATAATAAATAGTAATTTATAAGGCTAGCAAGTAGATCAGAACATGCTATTTTCAAAATATTTGAAGAACTTATAAAGATAATAGTCTATGATAGTTAATCTTTAAAGAAACCTCTTAGGATAAGGAATACCTGGTTACTTTATTTAATTAGCACTGCTTTATTTTCTTATTAAATATTTTTTTAACTATTTTTTTTACTATTTTATTATACTAGCTATCAAGTAATTACCAGGAGATTTTCAGAGCAAATATAACAGACTAGAATATAGGAGAATTCTACTCCTTTAATATAGGCGAAAAGCAAAATACAAGATAATATAGGTATAAGTTATTCTGCAAGACAGCCAAGACATATTATCTATATATTGAGGACCAAACTAATATTAATTTCTGAATAATATGTGTTTGCGCGGCCAATAGCCAAGTTACACATTAGAGGCCTTGTGGCTCCTTTAAACAAACAACTGTGCGCCTAGCTTTAGGAATAAGGGGCGTGAGACATATAATAAATTTAATATTCCCTAATATAGTTGTGTTCTTTGTAACCTTGGCATATATCATTTCTCAACAACTTCAGTCTGCCTTTTCTGACGTTCGTCACATTATTGAGGTTTAACATAATAACCTTAATAACCGACATATCTAGAGCAAGTGCGACAGAGTTTGCAAAATTATACGCGAAATCCCAATCTTAAAAATGATATATTTAAAGGTTTTATTTTTTAATATACTTTTACTGTATCACGGTCCCTGCGTCAAGATTCGAGTTAATCCTAGTAATAATAAATATATAAGTTTAAAACATCTTCTCTACAAAGATTTTGATTATTTCTTAGTAATATTTATATATAAATTTAAGAAGGGACAGGGACAAACAGCCAACTTAGAAGAGATTAAAGATATTATTTTAGTACAGAGTCTTAAAGCCCTCTTTTAATAGATATATATTTGCCGGGTTAAATTTAATATAGAAGTACCAGAAGACTAAATTTCACCTGTAATAGAATTTATAAAGTTTGCAGATATATACACCGTCACTAGTTTAGAATCTGAAATAGCCCGACAGCTTAAGAAAATAATTAAAAATAACTTAGGGCTCTGTCTATTAATTATTCCTCCACAGTGATTTAAATCCTATTAGCTTCACGTATCGCCTGGCAGAACACAAATTAATCCAATATTTCCTTATTAAGTTTTAATTCCTGCTGCCCTTAATTTATTTTTAATATAGCCAAAGTTATTTAATTGTCACAACTGGATATCTAAAAAACAAGTATATTCTGTTGCGAAGGCTTTAAATAATCGTGATAAGTAAAATACTCTCTAATAAAACAGTAACCAATCCAATAATACCTCTACTAATTAAGCTTAAAAAGATATAATATATAAATAAAATAGGCAAGGGCCTCCAGCATTAGCCAAATAAAACCCGATATTTATATTTAAAGGCTATAGATATCCCTAGCATACCTCTGCAAGTATATCTCGTGCAGGACAGACAGATCACAAAGATTATATTTCCGGTCTATTAAATATAATAATTTGAAATACCTCTTCACTCTATTATAGTCAGAGTATGCTTTAGAACATTAGAAAAAATTTAAAATATCTTTCCTGCTAGACATATATTCCTTCTCCGACAACATAATTGGCAACGCATCAGTCTTTATTTTTTAAAATAGAACTATATTATTATTATCAGACAGTACAGAGTATTTCTGTCGTTCCCAAAGGGGCCCACCCTTCTGAAAACCATAATATTATATTCTAGTAATAACAGCTTTATTATATTATATTCACTCGTCCTCTAGTAAATTAGTAGTAGGCTAAATAAAAAAGATTTCTATAAGAAAAATCTGCTCTGGTAGTATTATAAACTCTTTCTATAATACCTTATACGCGGGCTTGTTATTAATAGCTCCACTAGTCAGCTGTTATTTGATATTAATTACCGCCTATTTTTAACTAAAATTATATTATATTTCCTTTTACTGTTTTTCTTATAAATACTAATATAAATTATAGACTTTATACTTCTGGTTTTTTAATATCTTTTATAATACTGGTTTATAAAAGCAGCTACTATATTAAGAGTCTAGTTTAAATTGCTAGTATATAACTAATTATAATTTAAAATTTTTTTTTATTAATTCCCGGTTAGTATTGCTTAGGTATTATAGTTACTGTTAATTAATCTAACAGTTTATCCAGGTTATAGCCTTTAAAAACTTCTTATTAAGATTAAGGCTGTATATAATCTCTTATAAGCTAGTATATTAATAGGGATAATAATATTTAATAAATATTTTACTAGTAGCGTGGGCCATAATTATATTATATTATGCTTTACTAATAAAACCTGAACAAAAGACTTAGTTTATCTGCTATTAAAAGAAAACTTTAGGGGTTTATAGTTTACTTATTACTTTTATTAAGTAAATTATCTTCTCTATATCAGAACTAATAAAAAAAAAATAATTAAAAAAGTTATATATCTTACTGGATGTCCTGAGCTGTATATTAAATATATTTTTATTTATAAGTATCTTTTATAAAATATAGGGCTGACCACAGACTATATTAATCTTTAGAAAAATATAATAATTATTTATTTTTTTTTTTAAGGGGAGTAGTATTTTCTGTCAGCTATCCTTAATAAATAGTTTCTGTAGGTCTTTTATTAAGGTCAAGTGAGGCGTTTTAAACATATAAATATAAAATAATATATTAAAAAGCAGAACATACAGATTAAAAACAAGTAATATACTATAAATAATTTCAGATAATAAGAATATATTTTTAATTAATTTATTAGTTTGATTAAAGCAGACAAGCCATATAATAGATAGGTATATAACACCGGATAGTACTTATAGCTTCGACATGCCCAGGATACTTTTTATAAACTAAAGCTTAAATTTTATTATTAGTACCAGAGGTCTTCCGCGCGAATCTTACTAAAATAATAATTATAAATATTTAAACTAAAAATAAAGTATTACCTGTTTCTGATTAACAGTAAATAGCCTAATAATATTATATAAACACAGAATAATCTGCTAAAATCCTAGGTGGAATTATTTTTCCCGGGTTTAAAAAATTATCTTATTAAATAAGACTATATCTTTAATATACACTGGGGCACTTGCCCGCGGTTATTTATTAAAGCCACGCTTATTAACCAAGTGCCTTATATCCTATATATTCTTGTTAGAGCAAGCCTTAGAGGGATAAAAAAAATATAAACTATATAAACTACCTCACCTATCTTTTTACTCATCTCATATTTAGTAACCTGTATATAATAAATTTGAAAGTACTTCTAATCTACTTTTAGGACACTAGCCTTTATATAGCTTTTCTAATAGTAACTATTAGGACTATACTCTAGTTTCAGACACTAATTAAAAAATTAATATATATTATTAAGTAATATCTCACGTAGTATATCCTTTATATTCTCTTATTTTAGATTAGCGGACCGCTCTTTTGTTTTAATTTAGTAGAACCTAAAATAAAGGATATTAATTAATTAATAATATTTTATTATAATCTTTTAATAAGATTCTAGTTACTTATTAAGCCTAATATTTTTTTAGTTAAAGTTTTAATTTTTTTATATTATTAGATTAACTATAATCTTCCGGTATCTGGGCCAGGTCTTTATCTGTGTTATTATCTAAGAGTTAATATAAGGCCTGGTAGGCACACTTTATATTTAGTATATCTAGTTATAATAATTTTATTTTAATATTTAGATTTAACTTTTTCCTAGCAATATTTTAACTAGCTAAAAAAAAATACTCCAGCTCGGTAAGATTAGTCTTAGAGGAATTAGGCTCGAATAGTTTATTATTATTAGTATTAATAGAAGAGGTATAAGAGGACTTGCTGGTGATTTAGTAGTTATTAATATTAGACTACTGATAATAATATATAATTAGGAGATTATACTAATTATAGAAAGGAATTATTAAAGGGTTTAAGAATATTTTAATATATAACTAAATAGATAGCACGGAGGTATAAAAAGAGAGAAAATTTTAGAATAATAGTTAAATCAGAAAAAAAGAGAATATTAAATAAAAGATAGTTAAGGACAGAATATTTATAATTATAATAGCTGGCTACTAGCCAGAGTATAGCGGGCGGGGTAAAGAAGACTATTTTTAGTGCCTTTATAGAAATATAAAAAATAATAGTAAAGTAATAAGTGAGCCCTTAGGGAACTAAGATATAAGCGCTCACGCGATGGCAGCCTAAGGCAGAAAGGTGAGTGAGCTAGTGCGTGGTTAAAGAAGGCGGGAGTGTGGCGGAGGGATGTTACTAAAAGGCAGTCTCTTTCGGCGGCAGGTGCCGCCGAAAAAGGCAGCAAAATAGCAAACCGCAATTCTTTACTAGGAGGGGGTCTTTTACCTTCTCCTAATGTCTATTTGCTCGCCCTGCTGAACTAGGTTCTTAATTGTTGCCCAACCAAAAGCCCCGTGTCGCGCCTCAGCCATTCTTATATAGTTTATAATTGATATGGCAGTATATAGATAGTATATCTGTGTATATTAATTACTACAAGAAATGTATATTATAAAGGAAGTAGCGACCGAAAGATGATGCTAGGACTTTTTTTAGTATTACTCTCTTGATCTATAGATTACTTATGAAAATTTATTAACTAGTTACTATAATAGTAATCACCCAGATATAACTGAAT